CCCCCCCCCCCCGAGAGCATGATCACTTGTACTCACTAACCCCCCTAGGTCCATGACCTATTCATCAAGCGGCTGTGCAGTGCACACATGGGATGACGAGGCCCTCGATGTATTGAAGCCATTCCTAAAGCCAGCAAAGCGAGTGAGCTGGGCTGATAAACAAGGTCGTGTTGAAGATGATCCTAAAGCCAGCACAAAGCGAGTGAGCTGGGCGGATAAACAAGGTCGTGTTGAAGATGATCCTAAAGCCAGCACAAAGCGAGTGAGCTGGGCTGATGAACAAGGTCTTGTTGAAGATGATCCTAAAGCCAGCACAAAGCGAGTGAGCTGGGCTGATGAACAAGGTCGTGTTGAAGATGATCCTAAAGTCAGCACAAAGCGAGTGAGCTGGGCTGATGAACAAGGTCGTGTTGAAGATGATCCTAAAGTCAGCACAAAGCGAGTGAGCTGGGCTGATGAACAAGGTCTTGTTGAAGATGATCCTAAAGCCAGCAAAGCGAGTGAGCTGGGCTGATGAACAAGGTCGTGTTGAAGATGATCCTAAAGCCAGCAAAGTGACTGGGCTGGGCTGATGAACAAGGTAGTGTTGAAGATGATCCTAAAGCCAGCAAAGCGAGTGAGCTGGGCTGAGGAACAAGGTAGTGTTGAAGATGATCCTAAAGCCAGCAAAGCGAGTGAGCTGGGCTGATGAACAAGGTCGTGTTGAAGATGATCCTAAAGCCAGCACAAAGCGAGTGAGCTGGGCTGATGAACAAGGTAGTGTTGAAGATGATCCTAAAGCCAGCAAAGTGACTGGGCTGGGCTGATGAACAAGGTCGTGTTGAAGATGATCCTAAAGCCAGCAAAGCGAGTGAGCTGGGCTGATGAACAAGGTAGTGTTGAAGATGATCCGGATGTAAAAATCCATCGTCTTGGAGGCATCAACGTGAGACGAAATGGCGAGGATAGTGCGGCGTATTAATATTTCACAGGAATACTTTAGGGGAACAGACTCAATCATGATAACTTGAGCTGCTCCATTGCAGAATAGTTCGGGAGAAATTAGGACAGTGTTAGAGAGAACACTAATTCCTTTTTTTCTGCTTGTTCGGCTTACAGGATTTTCCACAATCTCATCATTTATTTAATATTAGCTTTCAACCTTTATATATGTCAAGGATTTATGAGCGGTGCGGATGTAGACATTGTCGAAATTTAGAAGAAAAAATGTTATCCTTCTTTGCTTACACGAATCACTTATGAGTTTGGTGTTGATTTGTGACGAATCTCTGGATGAGATGGGATTTGTGTTTCCACGAAAACTTCCTTGAATAATATGTAAGCAGAACTTACATGGTGTTCCTTTATCAGAAATGTTGTCACACTCTTCTACCAGCTATAATGCTCCACTCTTCGACCAGTGATGTTACTCCACTCTTCTGCCAGCTATTATGACCCACTCCACTATCATAAATGTGACCCCCACTCTTCTACAAGCTCTGTCGCCCCCACTCCTCTGCCAGATATTCCCCCCCCCCCACTGTTCTACCAGCTAGTACCCCACTCTTCTACAACATATGTATCCCTACTTTTCTAGTATAAAAAGGGAAACCATGATTACAACACAAACATTCAAGGAAGCCAGAAGGAAATTCATGAAAATGTGTTAGAAGTTAAAAAAAAGGGGGGAATGGGGAAGGCTAAGCTAAAAGTAATAGAAGACTTATCACGTGAGGTAAACATCAGACGAATCTATACATGAACATAATACATGAAAACTAATGGGACTATAAAATGGCCTGTGACAGCGTAAAAAAAAAATATCTGTAAGAATCTCTGCAGGAGTTTGGCATACCCAACAAACTGACAAGACTGATACATGTAACATTGAACAACTCAAAAAGCTAAATCAAGCTTCAGGGAGAATATTCAAGGGAATTTCAGATTAGAAGAAACCTAAGATAATGATACTCACTATGTTTCATGCTATTTAACCTTGGACAGAGTTATGAGGAGCACACATATTGACACCCGAGGAACAATACCAGGATACTTTCTGAGGGAGACCCAACACCCACAACCCATGGGCACTCTCTACAAAGCAACACATTCAGTGTCTTGCCTATGCTGATGACATAACACTGTTAGGGAAAAGTAATAAAGACATATCAAAAGCCTTTATTGAATTAGAAGACGCATCTCTACAAGCAGGACTGGAAGTTAAAAACCAAACCACAATTGTGGACCACAAAAGACATAAATAACAGACATACGAAACCATTAAAATTAGAAAGACATTTTTGACAAATTAAATCTATTCAAATACATAGGATCCTAAAAAATGACAAAACGAATTACTAACAAAAAAAAAGAAAGAGCATCAGCCGGAAACAGGGCATACTTCAGTAGTCATAAAATACTCACAAGTAAAAACATTACAAGAAAAACAAAGAAAACTATTTATAAAACTGTCATCAGACCAGTTGTAACATACGCAAGTGGAACTTGGACCCTAACAAAAATGGCAGAAAATCTATTAAACAAATGGAGAAAAAAAGTTCCTCGGAAAATATATAGACCAACAAATTGTGATGAATATGGATGGAGAATACGAACCAGCCAGGAATTGCAGTCTATATCATGATCACACGCTAGTAGTAGAAATAAAAATGGGCAGGCTACGCT